AAATGGAAAGTAGTAGAAAGAGAGTAAAAAATATTTGAAGGAGAAGAGTTTGTATGGAGAATTGGTGTGGAAGTGAAAAATGTGAGTGGAGATGAACAAAAAAATTGGAAGGAGAAAAGTTTGTATGAAGAATTGGTGTGGAAAGTGAATAATGTGAGTAAAGAGTAAAAAATATGGGATGGAGAAGAAATTGTATGAAGATTTTAGTGTGGAAAGTAAATAAAATGGTTAGGTATTTATAGAGAAAAAATACAGAATTTTTGGGTATTTTTTAAAAAAAAATTCATATTTTTTTCAATTTTTTTCGATTTTTTTTGCAATTTTTTTAGCCAAAAAAACGAGGACCGTCAGATTTCTGGAAAAAATCCATCGGAGAGTCCCCGTCGCGCCACGTGGCACCCGCCCGTTGGAGCTGTCAGTGGCTGACGTCAGCGCTGGCGTCACGCTGACACCAGCGCACGAAACTCAAATTTTTTTTACCGTTGGCGCGTGTAATTCACTCGCCAACAGTAAAAAAAATTTGAATTACCGTGCGCTGGCGTCAGCGTGACGCCTGCGCTGACGTCAGCCAACTCGGGCTTCAGCGAACTCGGGCTGCGTCGGGCAGCCTTTCCCCCCTAGCCCGGGCTGCGCTGGAGATGCTCTAAGTTGCAAGTGTGCCACTTTTAGCGCTAAAAACCCTTAATAAGATTGAATAAATTATAAATATGTGATTGTTGCTTGCGCGGTAAGGAATCTGACTTCTAATCAAACAATGGTGAATAATGAATTCCATAACTTCTCCACGTTGGAAATTTTATATTGTCATATCTCTCAGTCACTGCAGCTCAAGAACTTCCTGAATTACCTAGTTTTGTCTCAACGTACATCAGTCCCGTATGAACCAAGGCCAAGGAGGAAATCTTGAATATCTTTTAATAAATAAAAAACATGAATTCTGACCACATTTGGACTGAACCAAGGCTGATGCAGAAATCCAGAGTTTTGGACTGCGAACTAATGCCAAAAATGGCGGGTCCTCGACTTATAAGCCTCTAGTAGCTGCCAAGAATATCATCCTAGAATAAGAGTAAGGAAAATCTCCAGTTCGGAAAGAGCTTGCAGACCAAGGAAAATCCCCAGCAACTCCACTTCGCTCCACTTATCTCCACAAACATCACTGAAGTCAAGAAGACTATACTTGAAGCTTTAAGTTTGCTTTCAAGCTGCCTATGGCAATTAATGTTCTATCTTTGAGGCTTACACAACAACATGATTTTCGTGATTGATGAATATACACAGGCTAATCTGATGCAAGAGTTGCAGGAGTTGGATTCAGCCCGAATGGATGTTTTGAACAGGCTATTACTTGGGAAACAGGTTAGAGTATACAACAAGTGATTGAAGGACAAGGCATTCGAAGAGCGAGAAACTGTGTGGACTGTTGTTTGTGACAAAAAGAGTCTCTTCAAACTATAAAAGTTCGGAAAATTTGTATACATGAATAGTTGTATTTTGGTAGAGGAAAATTTGGGTTGGAGACCATCTGCAATACTCTTCAGAAAATAAATTCTCTCTCAAGGGTCTGGGAACAAACACGAAAGCATAGATTCGTGGTGTAGTGTTTGTGGTTCGTGCAAGCACTATTGCAGGCTTGTAATTGCAAGTAAGGTGTTCGATCTCTTCTGCTGGGTACCATATTTTTCCTAACAAAAAAAGCAGAAGCTGTCTGAAAATGTATATTATCAAGGGAATAATCAGCAACTTGACTATCCAGTCTCAGCCTTGGAGAAGTAAAGAAGAAGAAGAAGAAGAAGAATACACAATTGCTATCTATTTTACGGTGAACAAAATGTTTTAGAAATCATTACTTTTGGCAATCAGTTAATATGCACATGTGTTCTTATTAAAACGTAAATATGCAAAGAGATCTTTTGAAAATATTTTCACGAAAAACATGCTATTAGCTGGTTATGTAATTTAAAAGGGAATTATCAGAGCTTCTGCTACTGCTTTTTAGACCCTGTAGTCTCATTCTGCAGAGAGATTAGGAATGCATTAAACTAGAGGAAAAGATAGTCGGGTTTTAAACCATTTTCCTTCTTCCCATCAACCTGAACTCAGAAGCTATTGAACATGAAATGGGATGAATTCTAACAAAACCAATCTACAAGTGAAAACTTTAGTTTGAGCTGCAAAATTGAAGGAAGCAGCAGCTTGCAGTAATACCTAAGCATTCAACGGAAAGATATAAACAAACGATAATCAACACATTGATGATCATTCTACTTTGCTGCGATATAGCTTTTTGACTCCAATATCCAAAGTTGATAGTTATCTTAGAGACCATGAAATCTCGTCATCTTTCGTTCAAAAGAAAAAAAAGGTTTCATCTACAATTGATTGATTCTTTTCAGATACTACATTTAAAAGCTGTGAATCCCCCTTTGGGCCACTCAATTTTCTAGTTCTGACATAAACTTTAGTACAAACAGGAATTTATTGATGTATGTAATCTGATAAAGTAATGAAAAAAAAACACTCTCAGATTGCTGAGAGTTCAGAACTTCAGAGACATCCCAGGTTTTTAGATGCCTTACCAGACAAGGAAAAGAGGATCAAAACATGACAAAAAGAAAATTGAGATCAAAAGCTCCTCAATTGGGAAACTGAGTCACTGTTTTGAACATCCCTGCAGAACAAGACTTTCCCATTGCAGGAAGATGACCTCTTCATAGTAAGAGGAACATTTTGCAGAGACCTCCCTTTTGAAGAACTGCCCTTCTGTCTTTGCAACTTCTGATTTCCACCAGTCTTCCTGGGAACAATTTCCCTGTTTAATTTATTTACCGCAACCAATTTGGTATTTGAATTCCTTTCAGATTCCACTGCAGGGAGATTAGAAAGCTCCAGACTGATCTTTGAAGCTGATAAACAATCCATGGAAACCGACCTTCTTGGCTCCACTAGTCCATTCACCTCTTCAATTGGGATTTTATCTCTCTCCTTTCCAATCACCTCTCTGTTTTCCTCTGTTTCAATTCTAATCTCACAAATTTCCTCTCCCATTTCTTCACTAGATTCACCGATATTTTCCGAAATCTCCACCTGGGTTTCTTCTTCTGGAATACTGACAGCAAGATTTGGTTCTGGTGCAGGGGTTGCCAAGGGTTTGACGATCGGTGCCCGACACATGGGGCAGTTGGTATGGGATCTAAGCCATGTATCAATACAAGGAACATGAAAAGCATGATTGCATTTAGGCAAAAGTCTCAAAGTCTCATCTTCTTGAAACTCACTCAAGCACACAGAACACTCTGTACCTTCAACAAGACCATTACCTCTCTTGTACTGACATACTGTGATCGAACTGATAATCGATTGCTGGAGACCGATGGTGTTGATGTACCAGATGGGGTGGTCAAGCACCGGCCCATGATCTTCATCTATATAGTCATCATGGGTCTCCTCTGATAAAGGTTGCTGTTGTGGTTGTGATCTTCTCCTGGTTGAATAGTACTTTGCATAGAAAACATACAAACCAACAAGAAGAAAAGTGGCTACAATCAAAGATGATGCAACAGCCACGAAGGTGTAGGAATTATTGGATTTTTTTGTTTCATCATATCCAGATATGATAGAAGAGTGGCAGATGTCAGGACAGAAAGTCAAACATGGTGAGCGACAAAATCCAGAAACATTTTTTTCTGAATCACAGGATGATAGGCAGACCTCTGAAATGTTTGATTTCCTTGATTCTATTAAGAGCTTTCTATGGTGGAACTCCATGGCTGAGGAAGAGAGGTGGTTTTGCAGAGATAAGAAAAACCACCATCCAAAACCAAAGAGAGAGAGAGAGAGAGAGAGAGAGAGAGAGAGAGAGGTTTCTGGTTGGTGAAGAGAAGAGACGTGGAAGCTGCACTATGTTGAATTCAGACAGCTTGTTCTATTAAAACTTTCAAAGGTCATCTTTGAATATGAACAATTGATGAGAAGACTGAAGACGTTAAACCCTCTTTTGGTGATATATTTCACAAACTCCCTTAAAATTATTAATAAAAAAAACTCTATTTAAATTTTTTTTTTAAAAGGAAATTAGTATTCAAAAAGCAATAAATAAATAAGATTATAAGCCTACCTTTGGTTAGAAACTGCATAGCAGAAAATTCAAAATGCATCTTGAGAATTTCTTTCTGTGAGATTGTTTTTCTACCAACAATCTTAAATTTATAGATTGTTTTTGTGTAGTTTTAACTTAATAAGAATGATGTATATAAGAAATGGAATTAATGATGGAGAACTATTGTGGATTAGCGAATGCCTTGACCCTTTCTACCTTTGCTGTTGACTTGTCGCCACCTTCGAACTTCATGGCGGCGGTTTGAGATTCAGCAAGTTGAGCCTAGCCCAATATAATATTAATCATTAAGGTTACATCTGATTAGTAATTACATATCAAATAGATGACAGGTTTTTTTTTTTTTTTTTTTATACAAGCGATAAACTATTCTAAGTTAATCTAATTTATGGAAGGGCAACGCAAACTCGGGTGTAAGGGGCCGGCCTCATTGTCTTTGCCAAATGACTTGATCCGCATCTGCTACATGAAAGCAATCTTAAATAATATTGGATGGACCTCTGCAATAATTTTGACGTCAAACTATGATAGAATAACTCATGTTTTGTAATCTCCTCAACAAAATGGCATGGTTGAAGCCGAACGCACATCGTCACTCACATTCTCCTCCATCAAAGCCATGCTCCTCTCACTCTTTGGGTCACTGTTGTCGTACTCATCAATATATCTCGTTTCCACCACTACCTTAAATTTGTCCATACCCTACACTCATCTTCACAGTTTTCCACTGATAAGTGCATTATTTCCTATATTTTTATTCCTCTTATATTTGGTTTTGTAAGGGAAGTTAATTAAAAAGAGCATTATTACCTTACTTTCCTTATTTTTAGCTATTCTGCGCTCTTGGAAGGATTTCGACTGAAAATCGACTTTTCGAATGACTTTTAGCACAAGGCCAATTGGAGAAGAAAGATAAGACATTGAAGATCATTGTGTCAAAGTTTCATACTTTTCTATCAATCCAATTGCTCCAGACATGCAAATCAAGACAACCTAAGTGAAATCTTGTCAAAACTACATTGCCGTGGAAGATTGACGAGTTGAACACTTTTTCAATTTTTTCTAGTGTAATTGATGCTTGGAAAGCTTAGAGATCAAGCTACGTTTGTCATATTTTTCCAGAATTTTCTAGGAAGTGAAACGACCCCAAAATGTGCATGAACTATTGGCTAACGTGTTTCCAACTCAAAGAAGGATTCTTTCCTAGTTTGTTTCCTTAATTTTTTATGATTTTGTTTTGCTTTAGGAGAGTTTTCTAGACCTTTTTAGAGTAGCGTTTAGTTGTTTTACACTATATAAGGCCACTCTAAGCTTTCTCTAAGATGACCATATACACTATACTTTTTCACCATAGTTCAATACACCCACAAATATATCATATATAGAGCCAAGAGTTGCTGCCCGCTGTGCTGGAGCTTACGAAGGTGTTACTGTGGAGAATCCAAATATCAAATCCATCGGCCAAATTGGTTTTATGACAATAATTTTCTTGTTTATCTTTTCTTTTGTCATGAACTAATTTTCCTTGTTAGGGCTACGATGTAGCATAACCATGAATACTTAATTTTTATAGTTATATTAATTTTTTTATTACCATTCCATGTTGAGTATTTGTTACTATTCTTAATGCTTTAAATATCTAGCTAATATTTGGTGTTTGATGATCCAAACGGAGACTAAGAGGAGATGTTTGGTGTTTGCTTCTCGTAACCAATATCGTGTCTTGAATGAGTGCCCAAGAGGGACTAACATGAGACATGCAGTTTTCTTTTAGGTTCTCATAGACTTAATGGGTTCTTAATTTTATAAATTCGTTGCTCGAGAGAGAATAGGTTGTTAATTGAGAATACTTTTGGTTGAGCCCGAGAGGGGATATTGAATGAATTAGGAGAAACCAATTGTCAATGGGTAAAAATTAAGGTTAATTGGCTATAAGAATTAAGTGGAATTAGTTATGGTGAAATCGGATGCTCTAGTGTCTCATCAACTTGATTTTCCACCGTTAATTAAATTGCTATTTTTCATTATGCTTTAATTTAGTTTAATAAATCATTCACTCTCATTAATCAATTGTTCAAATAAACTTCTGAATTAATCATAATTGGTAGTTAAAAGGAAATTACAGTCTTCATGAGAACGACACCTCACTTGTCTCTATGTTGCTTCTGCGGATTGTGCGTTTGCAATAATTTCACAAGTAGTTTTTGGCGCCGATGCTGTTGTGAAATTATTGCAAGCTCACAATCCGCATAAGTAATATAGAGATAAGTGAAGTGTCATTCCCACGAAGACTGCAATTTCCTTTTAAGTACCAATTATGATTAATTAATTCAAAAGTGTATTTGAAAAATTCATTAATGAGAGTAATTGATTTATTAAACTAAATTAAAACAAATATGAAAAAGTAATTTAATTAACGGTGAAAAATCAAGTTGATGAGACACTAGAGCATTCGATTTCACCATAACCAATTCCAATTAATTCTTATAGCCAATTAACCCTAATTATTACCCATATTGACAGTTTGTTGCTCCTAATTCATTCGATATCCCCTATCAGGCTCAACCAAAAGTATTGTTAATTAATAACTCATTCTCTCTCGAGCAACGAATTTAAAAAATCAAGAACCCACTAAGTTCTATGAGAACCTGTAAGAAAACTGCGTGAACCATGTTTGTCTTTGGGACACTCATTCAAGACATAGTATTTGTTCTGAGAAGCAAACACCAAACATCTCCTCTCAGTCTCTGCTTAGATCATCAAATCCATTAAATATTGGCAAGATATTCTTTTTTTGGTGAAGAAAAGGGCTAACACCTAACAAATAAATTAAACAATGGCTCGAGGCTTACAAACTCCAAGTAAATCTTCACTAAGAAAAGACCGAATACTATCTGAAGGATCATGGAAGGTTGACAAACCCAACTCAAGACATGAACCCAATTCAGCTTATCTATCTGCCACCATATTGCACTCACGATATACATGATGAATAGAACAATACCAATTTCTGTCCATATAGTCTTGGCATCCCCACAACATAGCAGCAAGAGGATGAAGGTATTCCACATCTTTAGTACGCAGGTGTAATGCAATCGCTGACTCATACTCAAGCACAATTTCACTGCAACCCATATCCCAAGCAATTTTCAGTCCAAGATAAATGCCCCATAACTCACCTTCTAAGACTTGTCCTACACCAAGATTAACGGCAAAGCCTCAATCCACTGCCCAGAACTATCTCTTAGTATACCCCCAACAACAATGCGTCCATCCTCACCTTTTATGCACACATCAATATTGATTTTAATCACTCCTTCATATTTGGGTACTGCCAAGAGAGCGCAACAAGAGAGAAGGTGGGTTTTCTAGTTTTTTAAAGATTAGCTTGTGTCCAATCTGCAGCAGCCATAAGAATGACGTGTCTAGCCAGATATTCAAAGCATTAAGAACAGTAACAAATACTCAACATGGAATAGTAATCAGAAATTAATTTAACTATAAAAATTAAGTATTCATAGTTAGACTACATCATAGCTCTAGCAAGGAAAATTATTTCATGACAAAAGAAAAGATAAACAACATAATTGTTGTCATAAAACTAATTTGGCATATGGATTTGATTTCTGATTTCTCCACAGCAACACCTTCGTAAGCTCGAAAAGCACCGCAGTAGCAACTCTTGACTCTCTCTCTGATATATTTGTGGGTGTATTGAAATATGGTGAAAAAGTTTATGGTATCAAGATGGTCCATAGAGAGAGCTTAGGGTGACCTTATACAGTGTAAAACAACTAAACCCTACTATAAAAAGGTCCGGAAAAACTCTCTTAAAGCAAAACAAAATCCCAAACAATTAAGGAAACAAACTAGGAAAGAATCCTTTTTGACTTGGAAACACGTTAGCCAACTTGCACGCACATTTTGGGGTCTTTCCACTTCCAAGAAAATTCTTGCAAAATATAAAAATGTAGCTTGATCTCTAAGCTTTTCAAGAATATATCACACGCCACTAGGAAAAATTGGAAAAGTCTTCAAATCTTCAATCTTCCACAGCAGTAATGTTCTTACAGGATTTCAACTTAGGCTGTCTTGACTTCCAAGTTTGGAGCATTTGGCTTGGTATAAAATTATGAAACATTTACAAAATTATCATCAATGTCTTAGGTTTCTTCTCCAATTGGTCTTGCGCTAAAATTCATTCAAAAAGCCGATTTTTAGTCAAAACCCTTCCAAGAGCGCAGAATAACTGAAAATAAGGAAAGTAAGGTAATAATGCTCTTTTTAATTAATTTTTCCTAAAAAAACCAAATATAAAAGGTTTAAAAATATAGGATAATGCAATTATCAAACTACCTCAAACCTATCTTTTGCTAGTCCTCAAGCAAAATTAGAAATAAAACGAAAAGCTAACTAAACCACTTTAAACAAGCTAATAAAAACCAATGCATGCCAATCACATTTGCATCACTAAAGCTATGCCACTTTGAGTAAATTGCATCATGGTGTAACGTGTAGTACCAAAACCTATAACATCAAAGCTTAAAAAAAACCACACTCGAACGCCATGGAATTATTTCGCCTTGACTCTAATCCTCACTGGATATCACTCTATAATTTTCTCTCGGAATCCTAAGCTTACAGTCAAATGTCACATATGTGTATGAAGTTATGTAATGGGCATCAAATATTAACACATATGCTTGGCTTGAAGAATGACAATTTCTGAATATAATGTCTCATGAAAAGAATCGAATACTAAGAACTAGAGTACCCCCTCACCTCCAAGCAAAATTTCCCAAAAAATCAATTAGGTCTTTTACTTCAGTTATGATCAGCGTCCAGGAATTATGCATCTTCACTACTCCAAATGGAGTTCAATAAGTAATATACATTGGTCTGCCTCTCCAAATGGATCATTACACGTCAGGCGTTAGGTTTAATATATTGTTTTGCTCATTTCTTAATAGCTTAAGTGCTTTTGGGAACAATATTGAGGATCAACTTGTTGTCATGTCTTTTGACAACAACAAAAAAAAAAAACACTTGTTGACATGTGAACTTCTGGTCAGGTTGATTGGTTATGACGCTAACACGTCTCTCCTATCAGTGGCGGATCCATCTAAGGGCGAGTGTAGGCTATTACCCGTACTCACCCTGCTTCCTTACCCATGAAGTCCCATAAATTCCATTAAAATTCTGTTTCATTTTGCTGTAATGGGGGCAAGGTATTTGACAAAAGTCCTCTAAGAGAGAAGAGGGAAGGGCAATGGGGGCAAGCTTAAGCCACTCCCACCTCAATGGCTGAGAAAATCCCAATATGGGCGAGCAAAAACTAAACACTCATGTGCGGATGGATGCAATGATGATGCAGCCTAATTGGTGTGTGACTGATGATAACCAAGATTGTGGGCAATTTACTGAAAATTTTGCTTCTGGTGTTAATTGTAGAAGATGATTAGTAGAAAAGGAGAGGGAAGGAGGAGGAAGTAGTCGTGAATTGGGGATAGGGGTGGGTTGATGGGGTTAGTGCGATGGGAAGTTGGGAAGGGGTGGATGGGTTTTGCTGGTGTAGTGGGATGAGTGGTTTGATATGCGGTGGACTAATTTTGGGGTTTTGTTTAGTTTTCTAAAAGATAATTTCAGATTTGTTTTAAAACATTAGAATTTTGTTCTATTTTTTAATTATAATATATATTTTTCAGCAACATTAACAAAAATGATTTTGTAAAATGACTGACATCCTCCTACATGATGCATTTTAATAGAAAAAATTTAAATGGAAGAAAGTATACATATGCATTGTAGATTTAAATGGAAGAAATTTTTGCAAGTCTCTAGTCTATATTTTGCCCCCATCACGAACAATTTCTGGATACACTACTGTCTCCTGTCATATTGGGGACATTATCTTCCTTCAAGTTTTTTTTTTTTTCTTCTTTTGGGTTCAGTCAGGAAAATTCTGGACGGGGAAATCGTATATGTACTGTTTCTAAATTGACAATTCTCCTATATAATTCGTCTGTAAACTCAGTACTCGAAGTTAGTTTTTAGGGGTCCTTTTTTGGCAAGCAAAGGTTGTTCATGTCATAATCAAGTCTACACAAGAAGTTCAAATTCCTAAAGATCCCTAGATGTTAGGCTAAACTGCATTACATGAACATGTTGGACTCTTCTGTTTTCAAGTAATTGACGTATAATTGATAAATGTACAAGCATTTGACGTTTCCATTTTTGTTTTTGCGAGTAGTTTCTAATTTCTAATTTTCTTTGAAGTAATGCTAGAAAAATCACATTTATGTACATATTAGAGAGATGATATACAATGCAGTCGCCCTAGCATTTCCCTTTCCTTTTCAACAAATGGAAACAATTTTATTCATCAACAAATGTTTATATCACTCGCTTCGCAATCTTCTCAACAACGGGCTCCGCTAGCGTCTCCAAGTCTCCCAGGTCTTGCTTCAGTATTTCCACCTATGTTTGAACGGATATAAATACATCAGTCAAGGTTACGTAGTTTTTTTTAAAAAAAAGGTATATAAACTTCATATGGTGGTGGAAATGGCCATAAGAAGACCTTGTGAATTAAATCTTGTGTTAGTTGAGCATCTTGAGCAGCCACTTTTGATGCCCGTTCTACCAGCAAAACTGTTTCCTTTAGTTTGCTATTATCAGGGAGCTCATCTGCGACGTCCGCCGACACCTTCTCAGCCACATTTGCCACTTTTTCTACTACCTCTGCCACATTCTCAACCTCTTCCATTACAATTTCTGCCTTTCCTATATAGAACATAAAGAATTTCCCAATTCTTTTATCAGGAATCCTGTATTCTAATAATTTATATATGACTGTAATGAAATGAAGGAGATTTTGCCTACCTTCAATCCTCTTCAGTTTTCCCCAATTCTGAGCCCAAAAAGGCAGCATTAGTGATAATATGGATCCCAACATCCATTTGAACCTGCATGCAGGCCAAGCCATTTTTTTTGCTCCAAAAACTTCCAACAAATTCCCAATATACTTTTTGTAAATTAGAAAAAACATTCGAAGGAAAGTCATGTGACTGAGTTCATACCAGTGGGCGAAATTGAGCCCAGAGGAAGTAGCTTGGTGTGATTGTTGAACCTTGTCCTCTCCACCATTTAACCTAAAATATATGGAGCAAAATATTATCAAGTAGCAGAAAATATTCTCTCTTCTTTTTTTAAGATCAGAAAGCATATTTTCTTTTCTTTCAATCCGAAGAGAAAACCAATTAATCCAGGAGATCATAGTATAACTGGAGACCATTCAAAACACAGTTAATTTTCTTACACTTTGGTATCAAGTTTTATCCATGGTCTGCTGTTGGTGCTGAAAAGTCGAAGACTTTGCGGCATCGAATAGCCATGGGCAACCTTAGATACTCCCATAGCTGGGAACTGTCCCTGCGATGCATTTGTAGAGCTAGATCGATTGCCAGAGAGTAGTTGAAGAAAGCTTCTCAATCTGAAAGAACCCCACAAATCTTTCTTAGGCATATTCATCAATTTCCACCCCCAATAATAATCACCTGTATATTTGAGATGTAGAATTAAGGTCTCTGAATATTCAGCGACGGCGGCTCCAAATCATGTATATATGATAGCTTCGTGATTATATTTTTAATATGGAATTTGAGACATTGAAGCTATTTGTGTACCTACTTTCCATGCCATTTACGTTTGATGATGTTTGCGGGCAAAACACTGGAATCTGTCCTCACACGCCAAGGGATGACGTGGGTTTTGTAGAGATCTTTTCAACGAAAGAAAAAAATGAAAAAGAAAGAGGGTAGCTTGTGTAGTATATAAACGCGTAGCTTGTTGCTTGCAAGTATAAACCTCATTCTCGTTTAAGGCTTAACATCTTGTAAGTGTATTAGAGGTTAGTGTTACAGTTTGAAAGCAAATGCCTTTGGTTTTTGTCCCACATCGAAGAAACTCAGGGGTTGTTTGAAAATTATTTCATTTTCACTTTTCAATTTAGTTATTTTAAACTGATAAAAACATGTTTTTCAAAATCACCATTATTTTTAAAAATAACTTGAAATTGTTTTTAATTTTTGTGCTCCTTTTTCATTCACTAATTTTACATCCACACACATGAAATACACTCCAGTTAACAAAATTCAGTATTTGGGACCTCCCAACTTGGACTCAGCCACTCGATTCTTGTGTTTGGCCACGGAACTAGTCTAAGTCTCGGAACCTCCAGATCAAAAACTCACCCAAAAATTCATCATAATTCCAAAAAAAATTTATCGAAAAATACTACGAACTCTTTGTAAACATGCACTTTCATTCTATGATCTCAAATTCACAATTTGACCTCAAAAAAAATTCATTTCCAAGTTCCACATAAAACTGAAATTAGTTACCAAAGAACTTTTCTTCAGTTTTCAGTGTTTTTGAAAACTAAAATTGGTTACAAGCAATTATTTTGTTTTTAATTTCTTTAAAATGAAAACTGAAAACGGACCCTCAGTTTTTCAAAAGCCTTTATAAACAAAGCTTTTTGATAGTTTGACTTTGGAGTGTTAGGCTTCTTGGGCTTATAGGCTTAGCTTTGGATTTGGGCATAAATAAAAATAATTAATAAATTATTATTATTATTATTATCAAAGAACTGGACTTTGGGCTCTGGGGAAATTTAGTTAAGACACCCACCAATAAAATAATTAAATTATTTTTCATTTTTTGCATAGCTGAATTTAAATTAAAAGGATCAAACATATCCTTTCTATTTAAATTTGAATTAGTTTTGGTTTCTAATTGTTGTGGCCAGAGATCAAGAATCTGGTGCTGGATCCTTGGATAGAGAGGAAGGTTTTTACTTTATATAATGAGAATCTCATAGATACATGGGGATCTAGCTTATTGTTGTTGTTATTGAGTCAACCAAATTAGCAATTTGTGTGTCGTTGCGTGATTTGTTTATATATGTGTTACTCAATCACATTGTTTCACACATGTTCTTCCTCGTGCCCTTAACAATCTTACAAAATTAAGTTAATGAAAGGATTACGAATCCTATGTTGCAGTTCTTTACTTTATTCAGGTCCTAGAAATTCAACAAAGCTCCATATTTTCATAATTGTGGTTTCTTTTCTTAAGCTACGTGTGTGCGGAAGAGACCAATCCTTCAAGGCCTCATTAAACAACCTGTTTTACAATTTTAAAGGCTTAATGAAAGAAGTAATAATTTGGAATAGGACACATACCAAAAAACTGCAAGTACCCGTATCTTAAACTTTTCTTTTTTGTATAAGAGCACCATACGGTTATATTAGTGTCATCACATGAATAATTTGAGACTAGTCATTCTCTCAATTGAGCAGATAGTGTACGCCGAATTTTATAGATCGTCAATACCAAATTGACGATTCTATGACTAGGAACTATTTAGGGTGTGAGTTAGGGAAAGGTCTCCAGGACCCAACTTTTTTAGATCACCATCCTCATCTCACACGACATGAACTTTTCGTTTAGGTAAATAACTATGAATGACACTATTAACTAAATCGACGTATCTTCTGGTATGGTTAACTATAAAAGTATTGAAATATTCAGAAAATTCCATCACATGTTTAGCTTTACGGCATATTTCCAACACCAATATTCCACTACTATCAACATCGACACTGTCCCCAACATAACCATTTGCAAAGTATGGGAGGTGTGAGGGTTTCATATAAAACGCATCGATGTTATTAGCAGTGGGTTTTCTTCATGGGTTCATTGGACTCCTTCTTATGACATTAGGTTTACTTAGACGCAAGGGCGGCCCTGGGGTGGTGCAAGTGGCGCCACCGCACAGGGCCCCCGAAAAAAAATTTGTTTATATTATATATATATAATATTTATAAGAATTGTATATATACTATAGGCTTTTAAAATTAAATAAAAAATTAAAATAAAAAACAAGAAGCCTTTTAAAAACAGATAACGTGGAAGCTTAACCACACCAAAGGAGGAGTATATATATATCCCCCAAATAGAAAGCCTTTTAAATAAAATAAAAAAGGTTTTCTCCTCCAAGAAAAGTACTTTCTTCATTCAAAACAAAACGAAAAAAACTGCATGGCTTCTTCTTTCTCTTAAACTCTGATTTTCTTGTAAGAAATCATCATTGTTCATCAATTTCTCTTTGGTTCTTTTTTCAATCCTTTGACAATTTCTGTTATTTTTACAATTTCAGGAATTTGAACACCAAAAAGAGGAAACTCTAATTCCTGAATTCATAAAGACCACTCAAAATCACATCTCAATTCAAATTCAGGTATGTATCTAAATTTAACACTTTGTGGTTGTCATAATCTTAATTTAACACTTTGTGATATTGCAAACTCTTGTGGAAAGCAAAATATTTTTTTTGAAATCATACAACGTATTTATACATTGTTTGTTGATTCTACAAAGCGGTGGAAGTGGAGCCAGTGTTTGACAAGGATACACGAATGCAAATTCCTTAGCAAATATAGGAATAATTTTCCTTTTACTATGTCTGTTAAAATTTGTTCCGATTTTCGAAATATTGAGACGTCTAAAGGATCTTCATTGTAATTTTATTTTTACTTTAATTATACCTGTTTTGCATTTTCGTCCTTGATTTTCGAAAACATTTACAACTATCATCCAATTAGATCCTCCGTTGCACCACATTTACAACTTTTACAACTTTTTTTTTTTTTTTTTTTTTGTGAAATCATTTATCTTTTTTTTTTTTAAAAAAAAATTTACTTGAGTGAAGAAGTGTACCGTCAATTTTGTATTTCGCAGTAAAAACTGAAAGGATAATAAATATAATAACAACAAAATTAATACAAGCAATAATATAATAAATAATTTATCCAAACCAACTAACAACACATAATTAAGTTATAAGTTTTAACAACGCAACTGAAACCAGAACCAAAATAAATAAATAAAAATTAAAACGAAAGATCACGACTCACGAGACACGCTCAAAACAAAAGCGAAATATCCAATTCACCCTTCTACATAACCAAAACGACGGCGCAGAGGCCAATCACCACGGAAGCGGAGGCAGAAAGTCTGTTCAAAACGGCGCCGTTCTCCGACGACGCGGCGCAGGCGCTTCAGATGGAGGAGAGAGATCAAGGAAGGAGAACTCGCCGGAGACAGAGCGGTCGACGGAGTAGGGCTGGGGGGAGATTTCACCTTAGGCGTCGATGGAGCGGCGGACGATGGAGAAGGAGCTGAAGCCGGTGGCGATCTAGTCGGAGACAATGCCGGCGATTTAGCTGGGGACTGAGCCATGGTGTGGCCCACAAGCAGTGCAACGAGCATCAGAGCGACGAGGGTTGAGCCTGAGGAAGCCATTATAGAGAGAGAGAGAGAGAGAGAGAGAGAGAGAGATGGAAGGTACTGGAATGAAGTTCCTGTAAAGAGAGTAAAGAGAAAGAAAGAGTATATATAGTGGAATAGATTGATTTATTGGTTTGTTAATAAAATATGGGCTTGCACACCTCTCCTTTCTCAATTTTGAACTGTCATTTCTACCTCCCTAAGAATGTAACTCCCATAAGAGCATTTCCACCAGTTAGCCCCTTGCCATGGCAATGGAAGCCCTAGGGCAGCTACTATTCCCGTGAATAGTGGCTGCCCTAGCCCCCCCAACAAAGTGTGTTTCCAACAGTTTAGGCTTGCCATGGCAAATACAATTCATGTTTTTGTTTTTTTCACAACTTTGTTTACTTAAACAATTAATTTAAATAATATTTTCGGATAAGATTTTTCGGTTCCTACGTGTTAATGCTATTCATATCAGATAAGATTTTCGATTTCAAATTTCAGATAAATTTCAAATTCCAACTTTCATGTGAATTTCAAATTTCAGATAAGATTTTCACCCTCTAAAATTGCGTCACGTGTCATCTCTATCTGCCTAAATTTTTCTATAAAACCAGAGGCTCAGCTCATACCTCCCACACCATATCTTATCTACATCTTCATTTCTCATATTTTAGATTTCATTTCTCAGATTTTAGATTTCATTCTCCATTCTCAATGTCAGACATGGAAGAGGTTTTGGAGAGGCAAGAGCGAGAAAGGCGAGCAAGAATGCGTAGAAGAGCTACAAGCAAAAGGGCGTAGAGAGAACTATATGAGCAACTTGGTATGGCCGTTGCTTTGCTAGAGGAAGAAAACCAGAGCCGCCGTGGTTCACGGGAAGGCCGGGCATCGAATGTGGACAAATATAGACATTCTCAAGGTAAGAATCTTATGGAAGATTATTTTATCCCACAATCTCTGTACTCTGATGTTCATTTTCGAGCAAGATATAGAATGCAACC